CTCTTTCCTTATTGTGAGAGTTATGGAACCTCGATGATAGTGTGCTTACTGACAAAGTGCTCAGAGTGTCAGACGTCAGTATCAGGAAGTGGCATATTTTGGTTGCCGGAGCCAGAAGGGGCACTCAGAAAAACTCCGTGTTTCTTGATCTCTTCATTCCTAGATCAAGGAATAGGTGATAAAATAAAGGATCTACTGTCAAAGGAAAATGCCTCTGCTGGCTCTTTGAGAGTAGCTGTTATGCTTTATTCACTTCATTTTTGAAAGAATGTGAAGGGACTAGGGAGCAAGAGTTCAACAGGACAATTGAAGCTAATTAGCAGAATGGTCTAGTATTGATTGGAATGAGCTTGGTCCCTTTCAGCCACCTCTCTGCTTCTAACTATTATTTGAGGTGGTCAAGATAAAGAACTCATAGGGGAATGTGGTCCAGCAGATCACCACCCTACCCCATGCAACTCAGTTGAGATTATAATAAAACCATTAAAACCTGGCCTATGAGGCTTACTCATTAGATGTTTTGTGAATAAATGAATTAGTCATTTTTCTGGTTTTGGGAAAAAATAGGGTGGGAAGTTCAGCTTTAAATGTCTCCAATGCCTTTTTTTTTTGGTAACAGAAATGTGCAGGATAATTGCTGCCTACGTCCACTTTACATTGATTTCAAAAGGGATCTTGGGTGGAAATGGATACATGAACCTAAAGGGTACAATGCCAACTTCTGTGCTGGAGCATGCCCTTATTTATGGAGCTCAGACACTCAGCACAGTAGGGTAAGTGTTTGGTTAACTTGTCTCTTCTGTTCTTTGATACTACTGTATTTTGGGGTAATATTATTCTGCTGCGGCATTTCTAAGTGTACTCTTTTACCATCACATGTGTATGGGTGCTGAAGAAAAAAAATCCTTGTAAATGAGTAAAAAATGTAGCTGTAGGTGGAAATAGAAACTAACACTGATCAGTTTCAAACAGAGAAAAAGAGAAAGAAAAAGAGAGGAAGGAGAGAAAGTACCATTTCTCCCCCAGCAGGGCATGGTCATGCTACAATCCTTTTCTCTCTATTTCTCTCTCTTGTCAAAATTTTGGGTATGTACCCACATGTGCCCAGTGTGTTTTCTAAGCTGCCAGGTCCAGGATTTGAACCAATGTTGGCTATGTGGGATCTGGCTTCCAAGGTACTACATTTATTGCTTCATTCCAGGGCTAGCCCATCTTTGTTTTATATTCTTAACAGCTATCAGCATAGACAGGTAGCCAAAAGTCATTTTTTTTTTAATCATTACATTACAGTATCATATATAACTAAGGCATGATGGGACCCAGGTCTCTGTCAACAAAAAGGATGTGTTATCACCTGCACAGGGACTGTCATATGAGAAAGAAAATGAAAGAGTTCATTTAGGCATGGTGATTTATTGGTGTATGACAATTAGAAGGTCACTTAAGTTATCTGAACCCCAATTTCTTATCAGTAGAAGAAATGTCTAAATTAAAAATTATCTTTAAAATAATAATGCCAATCTTGAGAGCTGATGTGCAGTACCAAAAGATGATATATATGAAAGTGATTTGAAACTTACTGTCTCTAAGTCTCTTTCAATAAGCCAAAAAGTAAATGAGAATCTAATATGTCCTCGAGTTACTTCAATGAGGATGGACATTGAATTCAGAAGGTAGGCCCTTGGTGTTACGGGTTTCCATGCCCAAATTAGTGAAGACTTTTTTGTTTGTAATAATGATATTTTTCCATGTGCTTCTCTTAGTGTCTCAGAATGCAGCATTTTAGAGATGGAAACAACTTCACAAGTTATCTTTTTCAAACCTTTCATTTTTTTTCTAAAGAAATTGGGGTCTACCTTGTGTAGAAGATGCCCCAAGGTAAAACAGAAAATTAGTGGCAAACCAAGGCTTGCAAAGAAGTCTCCTTATTTTATAAGTAGGCCTCCACTTGCACTGTCTAACTGAGGATAATTCCTAAAATGTGGCTGCATGTTGAGGTTTCTATTCTGCTCTTTATGCCTCTGTAAATCTCCCTATTAAAGAAGCATTAGAAAAATGGCCCTCACTGCAGGGTAGGAAAATGAATTTGCTGCCAAAAAGATCACATAATGCATTCAGCTGAATTTGAGAGCTTGAGGGTTATCAATTATTTGAGACAATCTGTATTATAAAAAGTTCCTCTTTAGTTCATATGAAAAATCATGTGTTAGTGGAATATGAAGTATATTTATTTATAAATGCCTGCATATGCTGGAATTCAAATTGACAAATATGACTCCCCTTCCTTTAGCTATTTTCCCAACTCCCCTGTAGGCTTTGGCACTCTGGGGTGACCATGTGCTTGGCCATGTGAGGGAAACTTGCTCATGCCTATCCCTTTGTCTGAGCTCTCTGGCCAGGCCGCTCATCTGGGCTGCGGCAGCAGTAGCTGTAATGTGGGCAAAGTCCCGTTGCCAAGTAGAAACATAATTCTCCTCTCTGATACACAGAGGGAGTGTGTGAAGGCTGAGACCATGCTTGTTTTTCAAGGAGAGAGGAAGAATAACTGTCATGGTCACAAATATGTGGTTTGGACAGTTACCCAAGAAGCCAGAGGTAGCTTAATAAAGTAGTCAGTGTTGCTGTGCTGAACAGATCTTCTGTCTTAGGATGAAAAAATTACAGTGAATCTCGAGGAAAAGGTCACTTGCTGTTTGACTAACACATTAATGGCATCCTTGGCAATGTCTCTGTATCATCAGTGGGGAACCTACATACTTCCATTAGTAAAAGTCACACACCTCTTTGATATAGAATAGGCTTAGGGGCACAGGACTGACCATAGAACTTTCTCTTTATTCTGATTGGGGACTGGTTCACTCCTCCAACTCAGCCACTATAATTTACCACAAGGAAAATGAATGGAGGGATGATCATTATAATCACTATTATTTCAAGTGAAATGTAAAACAGTGGGTAATTACAGTATAGATTGCTTTTAGCGTCATTCTTAGCATCATGGTATTTGTGAAAAATTGATATATGAAAAGACTATCTTCTTAAAGATTAAAATTTAGGTGATAGTAAATTGGTCTGAAAAGACACCTAGTGTAGAAAGATTTCACACTGTAGACAGGTATCCTTTTTTACACCCATGGGTAGAGTAAGGCTCTGATGAGAGCTTTAATAAAACATTTTTTACTTTTACTTCTCCATACATTCATTTCTTCACCTAACACATGACATCACTATGCAGAAGAGACTTACTAGGGCTACAAGGTAAAACCATTCTATGGAGTCCCTAACCTTGAGGGCACTAATCGTGATGGTTATTGAAAATACATACTCATCAAACAACTCAGACTACAAAGTAGTGTAAAAACAAGGCAAATTATGGGACTAGCAGTTAGCGTAATGGCTATGTCATTAAATTCCTATGTAGTTGACCGTGGTTCAGAGTCCCAGATGTGGGACTCACACTTTAAACTCACACTGGGCGTGTGTGCATGCGTGGCCATCCCCCATGGGGGATTATTTCTTGCTTTCTATCTCTCTGTCTCTCTTTCTGGTGAGTGCACAAATTAATTTTTATTCTAAAAGAAAAAAGACAAAATACCAAGAGGATTGAGTTTTGTACGAGCCTGGGGAGTGCACACAGCAAAGCAGGCATCGGCATAGACTTACCACAAAAGTTGGGAAAATCTATTGAACGAGCAATTTTGTTCAGCCTGACTTTAATAGAATCATTTTTTTAAGATGTATGAAAAAGCATTCTGTGAGAAAAGGCAGAATTTAGTGGCTTCTAAGTACACATAACACTTTGACCATAATTTAAGAAAAGGAAATTAAAGCCAAAAATTATTTAAATGGCCTCCTCAGTTTTTTGGTTTAACTAACATAAGGAATGACTCTTTAAAAATAATAGCCTTTTTTCTTTTTTTTTTAATTTCTGTTTTTCCCCTCTCTTGTGTCTTTTCAGGTCCTCAGCTTATACAATACCATAAATCCAGAAGCATCTGCTTCTCCTTGCTGCGTGTCCCAAGATTTAGAACCACTAACCATTCTCTACTACATCGGCAAAACACCCAAGATTGAACAGCTTTCTAACATGATCGTAAAGTCTTGCAAATGCAGCTAAAATTCTCGGGACAATGGCAAGACGAAAATCACAAAACGATGATGATGACGACAACGACTATGACAATGATGATGTTTCTAACAAGAAAATATGAGAGAGTCTTGGTTCATCAGTGTTAAAATGTTTTGAAAAAGCGGTACTAGTCAAACACTTTGGAAGTTTGTGTTCTGTTTGTTAAAACTGGCATCTGAAACAAAAAAATGTTGAAGGCCTTATTCTACATTTCACCTACTTTGTAAGTGAGAGAGACAAGAAGCAAAATCTTTTTCTTTCTTTTTTTTTTTTCTTAAGAAAAAAATAAACACTGGAAGAATTTGTTAGTGTTAATTATGTGAAAGAAAAAAAAAACACAAAAAAACAAAAACAGGAAAATCCCGTTAAGTGGAGTTGCTGTACGTACCGTTCCTATCCCATGCCTCACTTGATTTTTCTGTATTGCTATGCAATAGGCACCCTTCCCATTCTTACTCTTAGAGTTAACAGTGAGTTATTTATTGTGTGTTACTATATAATGAACGTTTCATTACCCTTGGAAAATAAAACAGGTGTATAAAGTGGAGACCAAATACTTTGCCAGAAACTCATGGATGGCTTAAGGACCTTGAACTCAAACGAGCCAGAAAAAAAGAGGTCATATTCATGGGATGAAAACCCAAGTGAGTTATTATATGACCAAGCAAGTCTGCATTAAGATAAAGACCCTGAAAACACATGTTTTGTACCAACTGCCTAAGGAAGCTTCTTGTAAGGTTCAAAAATGAAAAAGCCTGTTAATAAAGGAAACTTTCAGTCAGAATAAGTCTGTAAGATTTTTTTTTTTTCTTTTTTAATTGTAAATGGTCGTTTGTCAGTTTAGTAAACCAGTGAAATGTTGAAATGTTTTGACATGTACTGGTCAAACTTCAGACCTAAAGTATTGCTGGACAGCTACACTATAGGTTATTTTTCCTTTTGTTTTGGTGTATGTAACCATACCTATATTATTAAAATAGATGGTATAGAAGCCAGCGTAATTGAAAACACATCTGCAGATCTTTTTTGCAAACTATTAAATCAAAACATTAACTACTTTATGTGTAATGTGTAAATTTTTACCATATTTTTCTATTCTGTAAGAATGTCAACTATGATTTAGATTGGACTTAAATTTAGACTCTTTTTAATGATCACTCACAATCGTATGTTTCCTTCAGCTGGCCAGTACTTTTCAGTAAAGCCCCTGTATTTTGACTTGCACTATGAATACATTTTTAAATAGTATTTGCTCTACTTGTGCTTTGTGTATTGTCCATTATTATGACATAAGCTACCTGGGTCCACTCATCCTTTTTCTTTTTTTCTTCTATGAAAATGATAGATTTGCATTCAGTGGCCCTCTTTCATCTTCTAAGCACCATTTACCAATCAGGTCAGATATTAAAAATCTTCTGCATTAGGAAAGTGCGGACTGTTACAGATAAACAGGTAATCGAGGTGAGATGTCCATTTCAGCAAGGATTCTGTGGTGTACTAAAACTCAGAATCTTTTTTTTTTTTTGAGAGGTTTTCGCTATAGGGCGCGTGTGCTCACCAGACAGACAGAGAAAGACAGAGAGACAGAAAGCGAGAAATCACCCCCCAGGGGGGATGGCCATGCCGCAATCCCTTCTCCTCCGTTCTCCTCTCGGGATTTTGGGCACGCACGCATATGTGCCCGGCGTGAGTTTTAAGCCACCGGGTCCGGGACGCGAACCGCGGTGAACCATGTGGGAATCCAGCGACATAGCCAATACGCTAATTGCTGGTCCCAAAACTCAGAATCTTAATGACTAAGTGGAAAAACGTTTCTCTAACTTGGTTTAATCAGTACTTTCACAGAATTCTATAGCTATTAAAAAGCAGACAGTTCACAGGAAATATCTTTTCCTTTAATTAGATTTTTGCTGTGTAGGGGAAAATGAACCATGTGGGAATCCAGCGACATAGCCAATACGCTAATTGCTGGTCCCAAAACTCAGAATCTTAATGACTAAGTGGAAAAACGTTTCTCTAACTTGGTTTAATCAGTACTTTCACAGAATTCTATAGCTATTAAAAAGCAGACAGTTCACAGGAAATATCTTTTCCTTTAATTAGATTTTTGCTGTGTAGGGGAAAATCTAAATATATATATATATATATTTTTTTTGATTGATTTCTTTCAAAGAAGGGATAGGTCCAGGTCAGCATTAGTCATTTCATTTACTTCACTGAAGTTAAGGTTTTTTAAATGTTCTTTGAAGGTTGTAAAGGCACAAGTCAAATTCTTTCATAATCAAAAAATTCTTTCTTCCCTTTGAGTGAAACTTATCTATCTCCAAGGCTAGAGTTGACTTTGCTTTAATAAATACTTTTGCCATGTAATTGCAGAGGAGTTACCCTCATGTTGGGATTCATAGGGTGTCTGTCACTTGTTACTGATTTAGCTTCAAGATAATAATGAGTAGAGAAAACAAGGAATATTTTCAGTTTCACTTAAAGAGCAAATAGTGAGGTGAACCCAAAAATGAAGTTCCTGGATATGACATATTATTTGGAATTTTCTGATAGTTAATTAAAGTGAAAAATTGGACTTTTAAATTTGAAAACTAGAACAGCAAGAGATGAGATGCCATAATAGTAAAGAACCCTTTTCTTTTCTTTTTTTTTTTTCCTTTAAGTAGACAACTCTTGTGCTGGATGTAACCCAATCCCGGATCTGAGTGTGTATTGATTATTTTTTTCCTCTTCTACTTTTCTATTCATTCTGTGTAAATCACTTTTATTTCTGCAGGTATTTTTTCTCCCAGATAGATGACATTTTGTTTTGTATTTTTTGTCTTTCCTCAAGAATGCACTGATAATATTTTAAATGCTCTATTTTAAGATCTCTTGAATCTTTTTTTTTTAAATTTGAGGGTTCTATAAGGTCTTTATTTCCCATAAGTAAATATTGCCATGGGATGGGAGGGGGTGGGAGGGAATGGGGAAAGTGTTAGTATGTGGGTGGGGCAGCAGTTTTTATGTGTTAAGCAGCAGTACAATTTTATGGTTGGCATGGTTTAAAAATGGAATATAAGAATAGCTGTTTTGTATTTTGATGACCAATTATGCTGTATTTTAACACAATGTATGTCTGTTTTTGTGGTGCTCTAGTGGTAAATAAATTATTTCAATGATATGTTCATGTGTTTTTCCTATCATAGTGTCATCATTGAGCCTCGCAAACACCTGTGAGGGAGGCAGTGAGACTATTTTAAGCTGAAAAGTCAGACCACCTTGAAGACTGTCCTTTGTCCTTTTCCATTAAGGATATTCACTTTAGAAATGTCATGCTTTATAGCACAAGAGCCAGGACATTTCTATTAAAGACAAAAAGCCCTGTGCAGAATTTTTATTCTCTTGTTTTATTGTTATTTGGTAATTATTTGAGATTTAGTTTCCATCCAGCTTGACTGTCTACCAGAAAAAAATGTAGAGAGATGTTTGCACCACACTTTGGCTTTCTGGTTCTATGTTCTGCCAATCCCAGGGCCAAAAGAACTGGTCTAGACAGTATCCCCTGTAGCCCCATAACTGGGACAGCTGCTGAGCCAGCCAGATATAACAAGAGCCACGTGCTCTTTGGGAGCAGCTACTCCTCTCTCAGTTTCACCCACACCACTGCACCAAAAGAAAACAAAACAAAACACCCTATTCCCTCAAATTTCCTTGGCTGTTACCTACAAGACCAGACTTCTCAAGTGAGTTGCCAGTCTCTTAATAAATTGAACTAATAAAAAAGTAGTTGTGGCTCAATCTGGTTGTCTTACTTTATCTAATGAAAGAACTAGTTTGTGCCTGTTGTGTGGCCTAAACATCACATAGAAACAAACTGTGATTTGAGTGTTGAAATAGAATGGAAAATGGTTCCCTTTTCTACAGTCGCGTCTGCATTGGCAGATGTCTTATACTCAACTTGTAAGGGAAATATTTCACCCATTCTTAGTTCTTGCTTCAGTGCAAACTGGACAGTACCAGGCCTATCTCCACAGCCTACATCACATTTAACTGACGGATGAGTGCGAGGGGATCATAGGCTCACAGTGATAAAAAGAGTCACCTAATAACTTTATCAGCTTTGGCAAATTTGTCAACCACTCTGAACCTCCATTTTTAATCTTTAAAACGATGAGAATATCTGCTTTACAGTGTTTTGCTGGTTTGGTTTTGTGTCCCTATTGTTAACTGAATAAACATATGAGAAGTACCTTGTTTAGTGTTGGATCTGTAGTTGATCAGCAAATGGTAGTCTTAACAATATTCCCTGACTTACTCTGTTCTTTTTTTTTTTTTTTTTTTTAATAATGTTGTAATTATGTATTGACTGTCACCCTGGCCCATATTTTGAATCTTTATCCTAAAACTTCCAGACCTTTATCTCTTAAACTCAAGAGCCATCAGTTATTCCTAAGAATATTCTATAACCTTTTGGTTATATGGCTGAGCAGAATTATTTAAAATTAGTAGGAAACATTCATCTTAAGCTTTGCTTCAGTCTACCAACTAAAATTCAGAATGGCTCACTGGATGACCGGCTCTGTAACAGGATAATAATCTAACTACAGTATGTTGAGCACTGACCAGACAGCGCTTTCTGATAACTTCGACACGTTGAAACCTATGAAGTACATCTTTCCTATAGAACTCCATTTTATAGGGAGGCAACAAGATCCAGGGTGGTTAAATTATTTGTCCAATACCACTCATTTTCTCAGTGGAGGGACTAGAACTGCCTTCCCCCATACCCTAGCCACCAGCTACATGTGGCTGGTGAGCAATTGGTATATAGTTCATCTAAATTGAGGTATGCTAGATATATAAAATACACACCAGGTCTGGAAAACATAGTAGAAATAAAAAATGTAACATGTAAAATGTCTCGATAATTTTATATAGTGATTACATGTCTAAATAATATTATTTTGGATATATGGGATTAAATAAAGTATATTATTAAATTTTATTTCACCTGTTTCTTTTCAGTTATTTACTATGGTTATTAGAAAATTTTAAATTATATACCCGGCTCATACTTATACCTTGTGTTCTGTTCTGTTTCTGTTAGATAGCTTTTTGGTATACATTTAAATCAACTTTCTTTAGAAATAAAAACTAAGAGGGCCAGTTCATGGGGTGGTGGTTAAGAAGCTGGATCCCACATGCCCATTTGCATGGTTGGGTCTTGGATCTGGCAGCTTGAGAAACATGCCAGGTACATGTGGGCACATGTATGTGCATGCCCAAAATTCCAAAAGGAGATAAAAGTGGAGGAGAAGGGACTGCAACATGGCCATTCCCACAGGGCATGTTTTCTCACTTTACCTCACTCCAGCAATGACACATGACCTCTGGAAATTTTCTTTTTTTTTAAACAAAGGCTAAACTATTCCCATAAACTCTATTACCAGCCTTTGGTTTTATAATTAGCATATGATTGAATAATATTAGAGTGTACCCTATAAAACAGCTGCTTTTGTAAGTCAAAATTTTTGAATGTTGGCAATTCTACAGTAGAGGCCAACTGATTGACAAATGTGGTAATAAAAATATGAATGTAAGTCCCACCGGCAGGGATCTTGACAATATTGAGGATTATACATAAGCAATACTTTAGTAAGTGGACCATGTAACCTGCTTCTAGGCAGGTAGGCTCCTGTGTCAAATGTTTTTAGTCCGTAGACTAAAACGGGTACCTGTGATAACCTTTCCTTACCATGTTTAAGGGAAAAAATTAAAAGTCCAACACTCAACTGTGGTCATTTGAATCATCGGTCTTGAGATGATCTTGCTTTTCTTGCTGAGAATAAGCTGCATTATGCTCCTTTTTCTAACTGGCCTTAGAGACATGGATCCAGACTTGGTATTCTTGACACTCACATAAGGGAAGGGGGTTGATTAAAGAAAAAGTCAAACTTTTAAATACAAACTTAGATTCAGAGCCTGAAAAGGAGCTCATAAAACTGAAAAACTCTGAGATTTATAAACTTCAAGTCTTCATGGAAACCATTCTCTCCTGGGTTTTAGCTAATACATGCCTTTGTTTTCATCAAAGATATTGTAACTCTAGCCAAAACTAGACACATCTCTTTTTTTGCTAATCTAGTAAACTGAGCTCTCTATTCTCTATCGCTCCTGTCTCTGCAACTACATTCTACCTGCTAAACAAAGAATAAGATCCTGGTTTTACTAATATTCTAGGTCAGAGGGAAATGTTTTCATACTCGTTTG